TTTTTTTTTTTTTTTTTTTTTTTTTTTTTTTTTTTTTTTTTTTTTTTTTATGGGCGGCTTCTTTTTTGGCCTCTTTTTACTTTATATGGTTATGAATTCGCTAGTATTTTCATTCATCTTAATTTAATCAGGTTTTCCTTTTCGGAAATATTAAATGAAATAAAAGATCCAAGCTCCCTGTTGGTGACATATGGATTGCAATTTTAAAAGCTGTATAGTCACATTTTATGCTTAAGATGTAAGCAAGATATCATTTATCTTGGCAGGCTGGTAAGTTTAAGGACTCCAGGTGCTGCTAATGATGTAACACGGGAGTTAAAGGGTGCTACGAATAATAAAGAGGCTCCTAGAACAGGTGTTGGTTCATATTTTAAGAGGCATGAAGGATCTATAACACGCTTCCATTGGCAGGTATTGTAACTTTTGTATCTTTTTAGTGTTTGTCTGGATGTATTAATTTGTTTTGCTCACTTGGCCTCATATTGTATTTCCAGATTTTACAGCTTGTTCAGAGTTCACAGAGTGGCCAATATTTTGCTTGGGCGGTTGTTGAAGGAGTTATGCTAAAGATTCCTATTACTGTTCCTAGAGTTTTTTACCTTAATTCCAAAGTACCTATTACAGACGAATTTGTGGGTAGGCGTGTTAACAAAACGCTTCCCCATGGAAGGCACAGTTACAACCTTTATGAGGTATTTTGGGATTGTTTCTATATAAATTATTGGTTTGTAAGTTACAATTTTTAAAGAAAAAAATTATAATTACAGGTTGTGACTGATGAAGGTCAATTTAGAACACAGAGGAACAAACTTGCAGCCCTCCTTGCAGACCCAGAAGTAGAGGTCAATATCATATCATATGCTGTTAGGTTTAGTTTATTATGATTTCGCTCTCTTGTGGTACGTGGATCAATCATTGTGATGGACATGTTCTACTTGTCATCAACACTCTAGTATCTTTCCATTCTTAGCTAACTGAAAGTGGATTTTCTGTGCCAAAAAAAAAGTAGGTTACATAAGTTGTTTAAATTCAAACCCTATTTACTTTTCAATTGGAATTCTGATGATGTTCTTTGATCAGGGAATCTATGAAAGCAAGGTACCATTGGAGTTCAAGTCCATCCTTCAGATTGGTTGCGTCTGTAAAGTTGATAAAACTGCTAAAAAACGAAATATTCAAGATGGATGGAGTCTGGATGAACTGCAAATGAAGACTACAACAGAATGCAATTATCTGGAAAAGCCAATCTCTTTCTTCTTTGTGTATCATAGGTAACTTTTAGAATTATTATGCCACTATATTGACATTATCTCTAGCTGCCTAAATGAAGATTATCTTTAACTAAATTTCTGCTGCATAATATTTTCAAGCAACAAATATTTGTGAAAGAATCCTCGCTTTAGCATTCTTGCACCTATGACCTATTAACCTTTTCTCCTTAGGAAAGACATTTTTCGTCAGATGAGATGATACATATGGAAGTTCAGAAAAATTAGGTCCGATGTAATTAGGTTCCGCATAGAATTTTACTTGATCCAGCTTCTTCCTATCTAGGTACTTCCTTAAAAGAATTCTCTGATTTCTTTTACACCATAAACCCCATATCTTTGTCTTTATACCATTAACCCATATTTTAGCCCCACCCTTGAATTTCTATCCGCAGCAATTGACAGCTAATATAATTTGACAACTGATAATCGACACAAGAACATCGAACGGAATGGATATTCCCAACATTCTCTGCTGTAAGAACAAATAAAAAAAATGAATTTCTTACCACGTTCTTGTCTTGTATTTGTGATGGCAAAAAAGATCGAGAGCCAAATATTTTTATTTCATTAATTGAATTTTAAAATTCATTTTTGATGTATACCTTGGGACCACCTGTTTTCTTTAGAGTTGAGTATCGATCATTGTGGACTAGACATAAATCAAAATGCTGAAATAACGTTGCCATTATGTTACAGAAAAACCGACTTTTATATTTATTAGAAATTCTTATATTTCATAGTATTCTATTTTAAATCTTGCTGACACTTTCCGTCTAATTTTAGCATTTCTGAAGGAAGAGCTATCTACATTACTTTTTTTCCCTCCACGAGATCGATAGTTGTGGTGATAGTTAGTCCTTACCAAAACAAAGACTTGTCATCAACTTTTCTTGAAAGGCAATTTCGCGAAACTTGTCAAATACTGTCCGGTGAATCACAACCATTTGAGAGTGGTATAACTTGTAAGGTAATCCCGCTAGTCTCTCCATAAGAGATATATTCTAGAAATTTGAACATGCCAAATTATCATCAATCTTAAATGTTTAAGTTGCACTTAATCATATGATTTATGTCTTTTATGGAGATCAGTAACTCATTTTTGGATATCTAGTTCAACAACTACTGCTCAACTATATCTCATTTTTCTCCTTCTATTCAATTTACAGGTTGACTATGTTGTTAACATCAAAGAAGCTGAAGTGATTTTGCAAAGATCGATAACAGAACACAGGTTTAGTCACTGTTCAATTCTTTTTGTTATTGTTGTTAGACACGGAATTTTTGGAAATCACAGCGGCCTTTCCCCTCTATAAATAGTCGTCTTTATTTGATGCACTCAAATTTCCAAGGAAATACCTCAGTTAGTCATTGCCCTCGAAAAGGAATACACCAGCCATATATATAGGCTAAGGTTAAAGCTTTTACAAGAAATTAAGCAATTAAAATATAGGAAACAGAATACACAAATTACCACACGATTATTGAAGACTATTGCAAGTGTATATTGTCTTACTTACATTTCTTCACTTTCAAAGAGGTACATGTGCCTTTTATTGGCTAACTAAATCCCTAGTTACTAGGTAATAATAAATTTAATTAAGGTCATTCCTTCAACACTCACCCTCAAGCCGTGGAATAGATGTCATTTATTCTCAGCTTGGACTGAATAGGATTATGTGCAATATCTTGATCACACAACTTCGACAACATAACTTCAATGTCAATGCTTGACTTCAATGGTAACTATGAAGACTTCAAATAAATTTTCTATAATACAGGCTAACTAAATCCCTCGATACTAGGTAACAATTAATATGAATTAAATCTCTAGATACTAGGTAACAATAAATTTGAATAAATTTCTAGATATTAGTTAACAATAAATCTAAACAAGATCATTCCTTCCCTGAAAACATCAAGAACAAATAGAACCCCAAAATTGTGCATCATTGTTTGTTTTTTTCGTGCATCATTGTTTGTTTTTTCACAAGATTTTATATTGGATTAGTGATTTAATATTTTAGGTCTTTAGTGAAAAATATTTCTCAAATAGTATAGCTCTAGCACCTCTGTGGTGTGTTGTCTGGAAATCAAATATGAAGGTCCCAAATTATCTTTTCCTTCACCGTTGATCATCCCTTTGCGTTTATGGCATTACTTGTAGCTTCTTCACGGTTTCTTGGACACCATTTGTGAGATTAATTTCTTTTTTTGTCAAGTTCTATGTGGATGTCCTTTCTTCTTGGAAAAGCCAATCCTTTATGGATCAATATGTCAAAGCACTTCCTGGAGATTTTGGTAGGAGATATCAATGGATTTTAATGGAATAGATGGACACTTTATTGCTCTTTAGAGCTTGTTACTTTATTGCTTCTAGTGTTTTATTTAGAGAGTGTCCTTTGTCATTGCTTTCTTTCCTCTTGATACTAGTTGGGAGTTTCTACAATTTCTCCAGCTTGCATGGGTCCTCATTAACTTAACCATTCTTGGTATTCTCTTACCTCCTGAAGAATATTTCGAGTTTTAAATATCTTTTATCGGCTCATCTACGTCTGATATTAAGGATTGAAACTTCTATTCCATCTCAGATTTAGTTTGCATTAGGTCAAAAAATTCTTTGTTGATACATTCTACTGATTATGCTTATCTATTTAGTTTTTTTTTTTTTTTTTTTTTTTT